ACTGACAGACACATCCATGTTATAGCCTCACAAGTGAAACACATGACTTTGAAGGTGCCACAAAGCGGGGGAAAGGTAGAGCTGACACATTGATTCTTAACTATGTCAGCTGAGAAATCATATACATCACTTTCTCTCAGTTCATGACCCTAAGCTAACTGCAGAGGAAGCTGAGAAATTCCAGTTGAGCAGATGGGATATTTGATAAATACTGTTTGCATCCCATGTTCTTTACCACTTTATTTGCCCCTCATGGGAGCGTTAGATAGCTCTGTGTTGCTCGTTCCTTGTGTGAATATTCTTCATGACCCAAACTTCAGAAGAAAAGGAGATTGAGTGGATTGAGGATTCAAACACCAGACTTCCCCTCAAACCTCGAAAAGTAACTTGATTTTGCATATCTTGTATTACATCTTTAGTATCCTCTGGATCACATGATATATAAGTAAATGTTGAGTCTGATTGTTAGCCACAAGCTTTCCTGTTCAGGACATGAAAGAATGAAGTATATTTAGATCATTTGTGACAATTAAGTCTATAGCATTACTTTCTTTTTATAGCCACGGGTTCAAAAAAAACCAGTTTCATTAATATTTGCTTATGTGAATGGAGTGATGACACACAGGTCCGCATGCTTATTCAGAGTAAATGGAGATTTTTACCCCAAATCTCAAAAGCGGTTTTCTGGAAAGTCTTTGACATAAAAATCAAACTTAAGTTCAAAGATTCCTTTTGGGTATCTGGTAAAAATTGAACTGTGTGAGAAAGAAGTCCTTACTAGCTTTCGGGCAAGACTTTCAACCACAGTAGTAGGAAATTACCACCCTAGTTCATTCAACAGACTAGATAATATTTGAGGTTCCCTTTAAACCTGAAACCATTTTCAGTAATTTTGCTTTCAGAGCTTAACTTCTTCAACTCAAGCAAATGAAGACTTTCAAGTCTAATGAATAGGAATGTTGGTAATTGTCATTAGAAGTCTTAGGTCAAATATGTCATATGTGCCAAACATGCCGAGCTGTATTAAAAATTGTAATTTTATTGTAAAATACACACAAAATTTACCATTAGCGATATTTAGTATATTTACAGTGTCATGTAACTACTTACTATCCAGTTCCAAAACATTCTCTTCACCCCAAAAGTAAACCTATTAAGCAGTCAGTCCTCCTGCTTCCCTTCCCACAGTCCTTGGCAACCGTAATCTGTCTATGGATTAGCCTATTCTGGATATTTCCTAGAAATAGAATCATACAATATGTGGCTTTTTGTGTCTGGCTTTTTCATTTAGTATGTTTTCAAGGTTCATCCACATTGCAGCCTGTTATCAGCACTTCACTCCTTTTTTTGGCTGAATTTAAAATTACCATTTTTAAAAGTTTATGCTTTGGTCTTTTCCTAATGCTCTAAAAGTTGGGAGCCACTTGGTCCTTGAATTCATAAATCCAGCCAATATATATTTTTTTAACAACCAATGAATCTTAACATGGAATAAACTCCGTTTCTTAATATTTAAATCCTTTACAAAGCATATCAAATAATATGATGCTTAACATACTTGCCACCTGATATTCTTGCCTTGATAAACAAGGTTAAGGACTCTACCACACTGCACCACTGATCGTTGTTTTGGAAGCCAGTAGCTAACCGTAAAAGACATAGTATATCCAAAACCAAAAATATCCATGGCGAACGCTGCCTTGCTGGGCTAGAATGCCATCACACACACTCGGGTCATTTTGTTCACATTTGCTTCATAGAATTTTGATATTGTCAGTATTAGTAAACTCCCCAACTTTTTTCTTCTGTGTGTTGAGTTCCATATAACAAATGAATTAGTCATTGACTGTAGTAAGTTTTCATTGTTTGAAAGATAGAAACAAACAAAACAGGACAATTTGATCTTTTTCAAAACTGTTTTTCTGACATTTTTAAAGTCATCTGTTTGGCACTATTACCTATTTTGTATTATCTTCTGGATTTCTTCTGGAATTTCTTCTCTCTTCTTTTCTCTAGCATATGTAAAATTTGAAAACTGTAGAATCCAAGGTTTTGCCAACAGTGAAGTTTTTTTTTAATTTTTAGTTATCGAAAAATGTTTCTTTGATTTTTTAAAACCGAATAATAATTGGCATGAAATTATATCAGTTTCAGGTGCACAACATGATTCAGTATTTGTATATAGTGCAAAATGATCACCACAGTAACTCCAGTTGACACCCATCACAGTACATAGCTACAAATAAAATTGTTTTCTTGTGATGAGATACTCTCCTAGCTTCTTTCAAATATGCAATACAGTATTACTAATTATAGTCATCATGCTGTACGTTACATCCCCATGACTTACTCATTTTATAACTGCAAATTTGTGTCTTTTGATACCATTCACTCATTTCTCCACCCTCACCTCAGGCTACCATCAATCTGTTTTCCATATCCATGTAGCTTATTGTATGTGTGGGAGGGAGGAAGGGGTTGTTTGTTTTCTTTGATTGGTTGTTGTTATTTAAATTCCACTTAAAACATCTAACCCAAGCTCTGGCCAATGTGGCTCAGTTGGTTGGGGCATTGTCCAGGAACCAAAACATTGTGGGTTCGAATCCTGGTCAGGGTGTATATCTAGGTTGCAAATTCATCTGTGGTCCTGACATATACCTTCGTGGTCTGGGCATGTTCAGTAGGTCTCTCCCACATCAATGTTTCTGTTTCTAAAAGCAGTGAAAAAAAATGTCCTCCAGTGAGGATTTAAAAATACCCAATATTTATCTATTTGTCTGATTTATTTCATTTAGGATAATTCCCCCAAGGTCCACCCATGCTGTCACATGCCAAGATTACATTCTTTTTTATGGCTGAATGATATTTCATTGTTATATACCACATTTTCTTTATTCAGAAATGATGTTTTATATTATATTTTTCTCAGACTCTTCCCAGAATGATCCAAGGTTGTTTTTTGTTTGGTTTTTTTTTTTTTTGGTTTTTGTTTTTGTAACCTACTATGGATTTAACATGATAGGCATTAGTGGATGATGTTAATAACATTCAGTAAAAAGTATCTTAGGAACTATGTTTAAGACAGATTAAAGTGGGGAGAGGTTGGTGGCAGGGAAACCAGCTAGTTAGACATTTTAATAATTTGAGAATCATTGTAAGTTCCTTAAAGGCAAGGAAAATTGTATTGTTCATCTATTTATTTCCAGCCTTTGTATATGTTTTGATATGCAATATTTTTATAGTTAATAAATCACTTGTGGAACATGACAGAATAAATAAACAAATAAAGTTTGTTTATTTATTTCCCTTCATTGTTAAAGACAGCTAAAGACCTAGACTAATACAGTAGTTGGGAAAATAAAGTGCTGGGAGAATATGGGGAAATGAGTTAAGGGGGATGAATAAAGGATTAAAGTGGAGTGCACAAAGAGGAACAAAATTAAACAGACTCCAAAACTGAACACTGGGAAACTGGAGTAAAGAAGGTGTTGTCATGGCTGGTGTGGCTCAGTGGGTTGGAGCATCTCATAAACCGAAAGGTTGCGGATTCAATTCCTGGTCAGGGCATATGCTTGGTTGCCAGTTCAGTCCCCAGTCAGGGCACAGGTAAAAAGTCACCCTCTCCTTCCCTCCCCTCTTCTCTCTCCAAAATCAGTAAGCATGTCTTCAGGTGAGGGGGTTTTTTTGTTCTTGTTTTTTTGTTTTGAGGTGTTAAGGAACAGTTGAGAAATTTGGGGGGAGTGTAAATAACAGTTGAGAAATGGGGGTGCGCGCGCGCGCGTGTGTGTGTGTGTGTGTGTGTGTTCCTTTTTTAAGGGAAAAGTTACAAAGAAAGCACTAGTAAATCTATTTAGGTATGAGAGTGAGAGCTAATTGGAAAATGCCCCACAGACAGAGTAATGGAAAAAGTATGAGTTTAGGAGTCATTGTATTTACATGTAATTGATCGATTAAATCACTCTGTGGACAAATTCTAAAATGAAGCTGTTTTGTGGGTGAATTCCGATGAGAATAAGAATAGGCTAAGTTATATCATTTTAAGCTATTTAAGCATTAGGATCTATGTTTAAGCTGCGCTTTGTTATGTGAGAATAAATTCTGCCACCCAGGTATTCGAATAATGTGTTCACATTTTCAGTTACAATGCAATTAATTTGGCTACCAGAATTTTACAATGATATTTTTATTGTAATAGGGTTTGTGGCACATTTGAAACTATTCTGAGGCAAACTCAGCTAGGAAAGAAATCTATACAGTCCTAGCTGTATCAGAAATTATTTTACAGGGTACATTTTTAGACAAAATGACATAGTTGCAGAACAATAGTAATAGAAAATCACACAAGTCAGTTCTCCAAATAGCAGCTCCTTTTGTAAGTCAAAGAGTAAGTTACATCTGCATAGTACAGAAAGGGCTAGCTGTTGGTTTTACTTCAGTATTTTTAAATCTCAGTTTCCATCCACAGGTTGACAACATCATTTAGTTACATGTTCTGGATTTTTGAGAATTAGGAAAGGATCCTAGAAATCATCTTATCCATTTCATAATTCTAAGGAAAATTTACTAGAGCACCAAAATCGCATAGCCAGTTAAATGAGAGGGCTAGGACTAACGAATAATAAATATTCTCTTGACTTTCAGTCTAGTACTTTTCTGGTAATACTGTAGAACCCTCATTCTTCATATGTGATTAAAAGTGGTAACCTTCTATCTAAGCATTGATCTATGATTTTATTTAGATCTAGAATATAAGGATTCATAGGACAATTATATTTTTTTTCTTAATTTTTTCACATGCAATAAATTTATCAAACAGCCTATCTGTATTATTTTAATGATGAGGAAAAAAAAGCCTGGATTTTGTTTTCTTTGGCAGGTGATTCATTTAATCTGGCTTAAATTTAGACAGTATTTTTTTTTTTTTTACAGAGGTTTTAGTAAATTTTAGGAGAGAAACAGTGTTTTTAAAATGATCTTTGTTTTTAATCCTTTGTAACCAGCAAGAAGTTGAGAAGTTTACAGACCTAGAGAAACTCTACCTCTACCTTCAGCTGCCTTCTGGTCTCAGCAATGGAGAGAAAAGGTATGTCACTGCTTGTCTCTGCCTTAATTACAGTGGTCATAGGAGACCCCTAGGATGTAAAGTGTGGCATGTGTTTTTGGTTGTTATTTTTAACACTCTTCCTAAAACCATCAGAAAACAGGATGGCAAAACAGTAGATCATTTTCGATTAAGTGTTTAGTTACAGTTTTTGCTAATTCATTTGTACATCTGGGTAAATGCTGTGAAATGCAATGTGGGTTATGTTTTATAAACAGATTAATATATTTATGCAGTAAAACCAAAGAATAAGTACATAAGTATTGTGAGCAATAAATTAACTGCAAGAGTTTTTTAGGTACTGCCAGGTGAGCATATCACAGACTATTAAAAAGAAAAAAGTGCGTTGTGTGTATGAAGCATGAATTTCTGGTAAATTTAAGATGTTTTAAGTGCTTGTGGGTATTATATTTCATTATTAAAAATACTGCCTTATCCAGAAACTTTAGAGACATGTTGCTGTTTCATGCATTATGTTCTTAAAGTTTCTCTACCCTTTTAAGAATTTCTCAGGATTAATTTCATTCACATAATTTATACAAAAAATATTCTATTCTGTCTGGCAATTTTAGGTAGTTACTTGAGAATGCTAAGCAAATAAAAAATAAACAGTTGCTTCCATAACTTTTATTTTTAAAGTTTATTTGGTAAGTTTAGACAAATGAACCAGCAAGTAAGTGAGCAAATACCCAACTAAAGATCATTTTAGCCAAAACAAATGTCTCGTGTTGTCACTGTTCCATCTAGAGATGGTGGGGAGAGCTGGGTTAGGGTATTAACTTGAGCAGGCACAAGCTGTAGAAAATGACCCACATCCACAGGTAAATGACTTACATATAGAAAACTGGGCATCGCCTGTTTGTCTTGAGTTTGGTTTGGCCATTTATAATGTGTTTACACATAATTATTTAGTGGAACATTTAGACCTGGCTCAAAAATTGTCAATGAATTGCTGTTTAGTTAGCCTAAAACATGTTTTTGTTTTATAATTAGTGATCAGAATGCCATGTCATCTAGTCGGGCACAACAAAAGCATGCCTTTTTCTGGATTCGGAATACTCTAGAGGAACATCCTGAGACTTCACTGCCCAAACAGGAAGTCTATGATGAGTACAAGTAAGTATTATATATATATGTCAGGCATGCTAATGTATTAAAGAGCTCAAGTACTATACTTGGCTCCAGTGATTGATCACTGGTAAAAACCACAGTGATACATGAGTTTAACTTAGAAATCTCTTCTTTCTGTCTGTAATGGGGACAGCTGTAACAGAACAATAAATTTTTTTTTTAATTTCTCTAGTAGCATATGAAACAAAGGACAGGATCACTAAATAAAAGGATTACTCTCGCGTCCGTCGGGATGACAGGAGGCAGAGGGACGGTGGGATAGGATTGCTGAATAAACGGGAAGGGAGGCCTAGGGGCAGAAGGAAAGTGTAAGGCAGTAAGTCAGTCAGTACATAGGGAAAAGCTGTTTTCTAACTTAAGACTTTTTAAAGGCCTTTTCATGCATCCAGACCTTTTAAAATCCTTCTCTATATCAACCAAATAAAACAATAGGTTTCTGGAGTGTTGTGTGGCTTTTACATATTAGACACTCAAATATAATGTCGATTATATAGATAATTTATTTAAACACAGGAAGCAAAAGTATAGAGACTAATAGACCTTTTTGGATAAAGTTAATAGATGCTAAATCTAATCTTGTTTAACATTTTTATAATTTATTTGGAAAAGGAGATTTATTCAGGCAGAGTAAATAAAACCAAAATTTTCTGGGTATTGAAATGTCAGAGCAGCAGCAAGCATTAATGTGTTGTAATACTTATACAGTTTGTAAGAAAAGTGTCAACTAAGTGCTGCTGTTAACCAGTGTAAGATGATGCAAAGGAACTATACTTTTAAGGAGATTATTGGTATCTAGAAAGAAAGCTTTCTATCCTCGTTCAAAATTTTGATTCCCTCACCTTAAAAAACATAGCGGAGCTAGAGAAAGGCTAGAGAAAAATATCTGAAATGATCAAGGGTTGAATGTGAAACTAAAGAGCTTTAGATGTTTTTTTTCCTCTTTAGGAAAATTAAAAGCTAAGAGTGCATGTGATCCAAGTCTATAAAGTTCTTTCTCTCAACCCACAACATTCCGTTGAATACCTGCCACGCCCTGCTATGTACCAGACCCTGTAATAAGTTCTGAGGACACAATGCATAAGATACAGCTTCTGCCCTTGACAGGAAAATGAATAAATACTCATATACATTGAATTCTTCGCTAACTTCAGGTTAAATAAAAATAACTCTATGACACTACAAAGAAGTATATTTGTATTCACTAAAAGCTAATTCATATTAGGCAAATGTGTGGTATGCTGAAACCCTGGTTTGAGGTTCAAGAAAATAGATTCTGTCATTAAACTTGTTAAATATTTTAACCACTCTTTTTGTCAGTTGCATTATCTATAAAATGAGGCAATTTGAGAGGTAAGCGTTTCTTTTAGCTCTAAAATTCTAAAGGTTGTCTGAAGTAGGAAAATGTTGAAGAACTATTTATCCAAAAACGTCTTGCTAGTTTCCCAAAAGGCAAATTGGACAAATAAATGGATGACATTACCATAATGAACTGGTAAGGGAATTTTGGATATTTTACGTATTTTTGAAGGGTTGTCCTACTGCACAACACTTTGTAACTAGTTTGTGGAAGTGTGACCTTGATTTCTTAGTGCAGTCCTATGTTCCTTAAGGATTTCTGCCTTTGCAAGGCACGATTACATTTTTCTATAATATTTTTCTAGTAAATCATTTTCTAAGATTCACATATCCTTATAATTTTTTTCACTAAGAAAAGTTAAAGGGTTTTCCTAAACAAAACAGAACAAAAATAATATCTTAATAGGTATGTGGAATAGGTGCTCCAATTTTGAGTCAATAATTTACAGTTCAGTAGAGAGCAACAAAGCAAAGAGTGAGTTAGACTAGAGTTTAAAAAGGAAGTAGTAGGTAAGGGAAATTCTTGATAATGTGACAAGGAAAGAAATGTCAGTTCTGTCCATGAAATTTGAAAGAATTATATTAATGATTATGCCTGTCCTTATAATCCATATATAATATGTGTATTATTCTATGGAGATACAGATGCGCATATGCGCGCGCACACATACACACGCTAGTACGATACCTGAGTCTGGGTATTTTAGTTCAACAAATATTTCATTAAGAACATACTTTATTTATTGTTGTTTCCCCACAGTGTTTTCACATAGTAGTCAGTAACTTAATATTAAGATTAATTAGAATGAAATCTGATCCCTGACGTTGATGATAAAATTAGTGTTGTAAAAGACTCCCTAAGTCTTGTAGTACCCTCCTGTCCCCTTCGTGCAGAGGAAAACGTTAAAGCCCGGAGAAGCTAGGTGACTCTTCCAGTATCACAAAGTTGGTTAGGGGTGGATGTAAGCCTAGAACTGAGATTCCATGACTGATTCATAATAGGTAAGAAAGCAAACTTGTTAAATTCGAATAATATCAGACTGAGTGGGTAGAAAAGGTTAGGCAAGTTGTTAGAAGTTACGTTGGCTAGTACTTCCCCATAATGTGAATAAATGAGCTGCTCAAAGTATAAATTTGTTTATATATAATTTATGTACATGCATACAAATAATTTATGTTATAAAAGACACATTAACACGTATTGACAGCACGACAGGTGCTAAAAAGAAAATATGTTTGTATTTCTACAGAATTACAGCATGTGAGAGCTCCAGGCTCTTCTCTCATTTGATTACACATTGCCTGAAATCATAATTTGCCATGTGCATTTAAATAACTTGAGAGGTATGAAAAGTAGACTACAGGTGGGCAGGAAGTATTAGGAAATAACTAGTTGAAATTTTTAAAATGACATTGTCTAAAGAAAGCAAAATAGAGTATAGCTATATCTTTTTTAAAAAGAAGAAAACTGAAATCACAGGAGAGATTTCAGTTAGATACAAAATAACACTTTCTATCTGTAAAAATTTTAAGGCAAATTTTGTTCCTTCCTGAAGGCCTTTTAGGCTAGTCATCTTCCTATTTCAGGGCCTTAATCAGTTTTCCTGAATAATAACTTACCATACATAAAATGACCTATCTTAAACAGATTTTTTTTCTGAATATTCACTGGAAAGATATTAATAAGAAATAATACCTTTATTTTAAGCTATTCCAATTGCATATGGACTCTTGTATAATTCATTTTAGTGATGTTTAGATATGTTTGTGTAAAAGTCAGTCTTTTAATAGTCGTTAAAAATCCCTTTGAGAAAAAAATTAAAGATGTAATCTAAGACATTTGGCTTCTTTTAACTGTATTGTCATGCTAAATTAAGATATTAAAAGAACCAGAAAGCCTTCAAGGGGCTTTTAGCATGCAGAGACAGTTTAATTTACAAATGATTGTGAACTTTTTATATTTGTTGAAACTTCAAATTCTGATCATCACATGTGTTTATGAAAATGATTATTAATGAGTTTATATTTTCTATTTATAAAAGTAATATGTATTTATCATGAAAGTTTTGACAGATAGTTATAAATGTATAAAAAAGAAAACTAACATCAGTAATCTCACCACCTAAAAATAACCATTTTAGGGGTTTTTTTTTCCTAATGCCTTTTTTATGTTTATATTCTTGTTATTGTTTAACCAAATTTTCCCATTGTTTACGCAATTTGTGAACCAGGGGGACAGTGGCAAACAACATTGCAGCGAACACTCTTGACCATATAATTTAATATAGATTATCAGAATTGGAATTGCTAGTTTATGAACCTTAATATTAACTACTAAAATATAACAATTTTTAAGATTGCTGTTTATTACTTAATTTTAGTTTTTCTAAGTAGTCTAATTTGTCTCCTTTTTGCAGCTTGTAACATTCATTGTTATGCTTAGAAAGAACTTCCCCCATCCACTAGTAGCCAATATTCAATGTGTATTTTTCCTAGGTATTTATTTCATTTTTCGCATATATATCCCTTTATTCCATCTGGTATTTATTTTGTTATTATTATTTTTCCCTCACCCAAGGACATGTTTATTGATTTCAGAGAGAGAGAAAGGGAGGGGGAGAGAGAAGGAGAGAGAAACATCTATGTGAGAGAGAAACATGGATTGGTTGCCTCTCACACTCACCCCGAATGGGGACCAAACCCGCATCATAGGCATGTGCCCTGACTGTGAATCAAGCCCATGACCCTTAGGTTTACGGGATTATGCTCCAGCCAAGCGAGCCACACCAGCCTGGGCTAAGTAATTTTTTTCTTTTAACACTAAACTATTATGTAACTCTTATCTTACTACAGCCTCCTGGACTGAATTTTCTCCCTTTGAATTTTTCATTCTTATTTCAGTACCATACCATTTTTAAGTGTTTTAGTTATTAAATATTTAAGAAGCTGGTAGGATCAATCTTCCTTATTATCCTTCTTTTTCAAAAATTTTCTTGGTTTTTACACCAGTTTTTTCTTTTTTTAAGAAAAAAGTTTTTATACCAATTTTTTCATATGAAGTTTAAAATAAATTTTTTTTTTTTACTTTAAAAAGGAAACCTCAAAGGAATTTTGATGTGAAAAAATTTATTTTAGAAAAATTAACTTCAGAGTTAGGAGTGTATTTCTTGATTTACATCTTTCTTGTGCCCTTTAGTTTTAGTTCTTTCTTTTTCCTTCAATTAAGTTCACTTATTTTTCTTGTTAAATATATTCCTTGTTAATTTTTACTTTTGTTTTTATATTATGAAAAATAATTTTTCTGTTGATTTGTTTTGGTTTATAGGACATCTATAGATTTCCGTTACTTACGTTAAAATTTTATATCTTCTGACCTTTGCTTAATTCTAATATTTTTAGTTCTTTTGACTCTTCTGGGCAGCATTGAATCCTGCATATCTTCCTCATACTCTTTATTACATTTAATAGCTCTTCCTTCTGCTTTTAAATAATAGCAATATTTGCATCATTTCCTCTTACAATTCCTGGTGTTAAGAGTATATAATTTTTAATCCAACCATCTACTGATGGGCTTACATAAGATAAGAGTTATCTACTGATAAGAGTTACATAATAGTTTAGGTTGCTTC